AGGCCCAGAGGCCCCATCAGCCCACCCACAAGCTCCAGTCTGGCCCAGTCTCCACGACTCAGCTTCATCCTGAGGGTAGAGCTCTCTCCATCTCAGGCCCAGATTCCCAGACTGATCAATTTCATGGACCATTAAGCTGCCAAATAAAAATATTCCCATCAATTCATATCTGAAATCTTACCCCCTAACAGAATGGTATAATCCCAGAGAAAAGGACACATCTTTTTATTGGAACACACTTATGAAATATTCACTACATGGTCATCATTATCACTTGGATAAGGATGGAGGAAACATCACCAACAGACAGCAGTCCTAGCACTGTGATATGCGTGTATTAGACACTCATTTACTTACAAATTGTGTAGAAGCTGAGCTCTGATTCATAGGGCAGCGATTTGGGAAATGCTACATTCCACACCACTAGTAATGCCAAGCCTTCTTTTTTCAACAACAGCATTCCCCATCACTCTCTGGAGCTCTGCAGATTCTCCTCAACCTCATCCTTCTAAAAGCACACTTCTCCTAGCTCACTTCCAAAAGTGAATTCTTTTTAGTCAACTTGAAAAGGAAAAAAACAAAAACAAAACCACGCTTCCTCCCACTCCAAGCACTCCTGAAGCATACTTTCCAGTCGAGTTACACTTCAAAAACCTATTATTACCTAGCAGACAAAATTTTGCACGATTTCCCCAAGAGACAAAGGACAGAATGGTTTGCTTTATTTATAACCACTATCAAATCATTAACAAACAATGAAGAAAAACTCTAATCCGTAATTCCAAACCATTCATTGTTTCCATCATTGTCCATATGAACCTGCACATTTTATATACCAATCAATGATACACTGTCACTTTTTTCCTGATTATAAAAATGATGCCTGTCTGAGCATTTGTTCAATGCTTAGAAGACTAGCTAAGATTCAAATATTACAGAAATAAGATTGTGTAGAAAATAAATGTCTCCTGTAACTACACACAATGGCCTCTAATGCCTTCAGACCTGTCAGGGCTTCTTACTTCTTGTCAAATTGTGATGACTTGATCTTCCACCTTCCGTGTGCCTCCTCTCTTCCAGCTCTCATCTGGTGTTGGGAGTTACTGCCCAACTCCTACCAGGGGCCCAGCAATCCCGGAGCCCGGTTATGATCAGAAGCAGTAGACTCACTGTCTACTTATTATCACTTATTCAAATGCTGATAACTCTGGCTTCTCTTCACCTGCCTCAAAGGTTTATGAGGCTGAGTTTTGTGAGCATCTTAAAAGCAAAATACAAAAAAGAAAAACAAAAAAGCAAAATACACTGCAAATACCAAATAGGATAGGTTTCCTTGGCTCTCTGCCCCATCATCATAGCTTGCCCCAGCACCCCCAAAAAAGTTCACGTAGGTGCATTCCAACAGCTATCACTCCTGCTATAGCAGCAGCCAACCATGGGCACCTGCTCAAAAGAGTAATGACGCTAACATGAAATAATGCTAATTTTATTCCAGAGGCCAAGGGCTGCATTTCTGGTCAAGAGCTGAAGAGACAGCACAGGGACATGGGGAAAAGCTTGCCAAAATTTTACATGGGTGGGCCCTGGTAACCAAGGCACAGGACACTCCTCTGCAGCCCCAGAGGAAGCTTCTTTCTCAGATGATCTGAGTGCCCAAGAGCAGAATCTCCCCTCAGAAGATGCTATAAAACTGTTTCAAGTATCTAAACAGCTTTACCCAAATCAAGCATTAACTTATCTCCTACCTAAACTTGGCAGCACCACAGAGTTAATTTTATGCCAACCATTCTTTGACAAATTAAAAACTAAAAGGGAAGTAGGAACTGGCCAAAAAGGAAAGGCATTCCACAAAGCACGACAGGCCAGACTTAGTCCCATCTTTTCAAATGGCTGCATCACAGACCCTTTTACTGAGACAAGAAGGCCCAACAGAAGCCCAGAGGGTGCATTCTACTGCAACTCCTTCATTTTACAGATGGGAAAACTGAGACCCAAAGAGGTGGACTGACTTTCTCAAGGCTACAGAGTAAATTTAAGTAGCAGATGACCCCTGGCCCAGAAATAAGTCTTGGGAGTCCCTGGCTGGAGATCTTTCCACTGAATCCCACCTGACTCTTTATCGTGGAGAGTCTGTCACTCTGCCTGTGACAAAACATTTCAACCAAAAGAAACACCATCAACACATGTCAACATGCAGAATATGCACTAATACGTACAATTAAAATGGGTAATCTGGGCTTAGCTTCCTTAAGTTTATTTGTTGGTAGTACAACACTGCTGAAGACAAATGAACATAAAACAGTTTTTTAAATCTGCACAGAAGCTTCTAAAAAACATTCAAATCATTTGAGACATGCTGTTCCAATCAAATCTAATTCTAAATAACAAACCAAATATGTTTTAGAAGCGAATGCTTACTGAATAATAATGAAACCAGTTGAAGTTAGTCTCATATAAGATGAAACTTTCAAGTTCTATTGCTGTGCAAGCAGAGGACTGCCCTCCTCCTCAGAGGGATTTTTCTCGGGAAGCTGAAATTTATGTCAAAGATACGGACACATAAGATAATATATGTAAGAAGTTGAGTATCAGACTTGACACACAGTAAGTATTGAACAAACGCTAGTTTCCTTAACATGGAACAGAAAAATAAGTATCACCTCCATAACTAGTAATACTTTCTTACAATACTCTCCTAAAAGTCTGTCCTATGCCCCTGGAAAACTTAAGGTGTTATATCAGCAGGGTATTGGCTATTTTAATAGCATAACTGAAGAAGGTATAGAAACACAACATTCCATTTATCTTAAAAGATAAATTTAGATACCGTGAAATCAGGGTAATCAGCGTAACACTGTTTTAGTATAATGGTAAGCCTTTCAAGTATTAATTCCTGATTGATTCATGATTAATAAAAAAGAAAAAGGGGGGTGGAATTCAATGTTTGTTTCTCTGTTGGCAGGGAAAGAAAATAGTCATTAAAAAGTTGAAACATGACACAAAAAAGAGTTAACAGCTTACAGTATTCTATCTTTGTACATGTGGATTCTTACACCATTTAGTAGTCTTTCCCTAAATAATTTTTCAGTCAGTATCCTCGTTACTCCAGTTAACTGTAAAACGCCAGTATTTTACACTTCAGCACACTGATTTTTCTACTGCCACTTTATAAAAGTTTTAGAAAGTGGGATTGTGCTGACTCCTTGCAGGTGAATTATTAATTAAAAGTATCCTTTTGAAGAGAGAATGAAAGTATGTTAAAAACACCTTCCCTGGAAAAGGATCTCAACTTTAGAGTCCTTTCTCAAAAATTCTGAGCAAGCATCTAGACCAAACCCTGCTTATAAAAGACCCTGAATGATTTTTCGGGGTCATCCAATAAGTTCACGACCAAGGGACAGCTACAGAAATTTTGCATCTGTTTTCTCCCTGGAGTTCCAACTACAAGCCCATTGTATTCTACCGCCACCTGTGTTCTCAGCATTTCCCCCAGCGTGGAGGTTCCCCATCTCTCCACCAATGCCTTGTTTTCAAAACAGTGCCATTTCCAGGACTCTGCAAGTTACAATAAACAACTGCTGAGTAAATACTGCTTTCAAGCAAACTAAAAACACAACAAAGCAGCTACCTAAGTTCATAAAGAAATCCCCCTTCCTGAAAGGTCTGCTACACGAATTCAGATATTCTTAATTGTCATAGCCATTTGAGGGCAAGATTTTAAATCCATGGTGGGGGTGGGGGGAGTCAAAGACTTAAGGGACCAAAACCAGAACAATGGATCAGAAAAGCCACTGTTTGCTTTTTAAATCAGTGAAATGTTAAAACAAATGACAAACCAAGGCCAACCTCACAAAGTTTCCTCATTTCTTGGAATTCAAACACCACTGCTGGCAGCATTTTATGACAATCCTTTAAATATTTTACCTAAGTCGTCAGGCGCAACATAAAGCGGGTGACTGAGGGACTTCTTAAAACTGGGTCCAGTCTTGTCTGAGCTTCGGACACTGACCTTAACGCTGGCCCTCCCCAACCACTCAATCCATCCACTACAGTCTGTGACAGTCGTGGCTTAAACTGAGCAGAGCTTGACTACAAAACGACCACAACTCGAAATCTGATTTCTCCAATTTCTCATTAATTTTTTAATTCAAGCCCCACGCTCCTTCGGCCTTTCGCCCCTGACCCCTCAGTTCTAGATCCCTTCGCCGACGTCAAGATCACCTTTCATTGTTTCTATGGGACCCCGCTTCCCTCTCCCCGTCCAGCAATGTTTTCCTAGCACAAATGTCATTTCTAGCGTTCAACCCTCCATTCCGCCCGGCGGGCAGCAGAGTGGCTTTCAGGACCAGCTTCCCTGATTCGGTCCCCTTCGCACAGCCATTTTCTAGTTAAAACGCTCCCCGCCTCCGAGGAAGAAATGAACTTTTCCCCGTTTGATCTCGCGGCGGCTAGGCTCTGAACCCCCGAGAAGCCAGCCGGGTCTTCAACTCCCCGGCAAGAGCGCGCTACAGCCCCAGCCGCACAGCGGAGGCCGGTGCCAGGGCAAGGGGGTGTGAGCTCTTCCCCGCGGCGCCCACCCTCACTTTTCCCTTCCGCAGCCCCTATCCGGGCGCACCCCCTCCAACCCTGTCTCCCCAGCCCCAGGCCCTGTAGACCCCCGGCTGCCGAGGAAAAGACGGCGCCGAGAAGCCGGAGGGATGGAGTCAAGGAGTGAGCCCGCAGTCGCCGTGCCACCGGCCCTGCGGCGCGGGCGCAGGGCGCACGGGACTCCGCAGCGGATGCCCGCTGCAGATGCGGTGGCAGCTGCTGCAGCTGTGGCTGCGGCTGGGCGGGCGGCAGTGGCCGCGCAGCCCTCGGGGCCGGGAGGAGAGGAGCAGCCGCCAGTGCTACGCGCAGCCACTCGCCGATGCCGATGCCGATGCCGCAGCCCGGGTCTCTCACCAGCACTCCCGGGCAGCCCCGGGGTCCAGGGCAAAAGCAAGGGAGAAAGCAGGGCTCACCGGCAGTGCGCGCGGCGTCCGCCTCGGCTCCGGCGCCCGTCAGCTCTGCTCCAGTCTCGCCCTGCCGGGAGCGCCAGAATCAGCTGCGGGTG